TGGATTTGGGGTGGATACTTAACCCAATCTGGATCCATCGGATTATCTCCTGGGATTATCCTCAGCCATTAGGGGTGCTTGAACTAGAGCTGGTGCAGCTGTGTGCATGGAGAATAGAAAATTGGTCCACACAGAGAGATTGAAGTTGATACACAAAGGGAAGAAGGGAAAGTTGAAGAAATGGATGGAGTAATCTTGACTCTGCCCCCGCCTCCCAACTTCCCAGCTGCCTGCAGGGCTGCCTGTGTCCTCGAGTCACCACCCTCTGATATAACATAGCTTGCCTCTAAACATTTGTAATCAATTACTATATTAAATTTTCTCTATTGAGTTATCTAACATGAATTTTGAGTTCCTGTCTGGACCCTGACTAATGTAAATATCTTTGCAAATGAGCACAGAAGTTGACATCATTTATTTTAAGAGCTGCTTATGTTTCACTGTACAAATTTCCACCATTTATTTCATCATTTGGCTGTTGATGAAAACTTGTTTCCAAGTTTTTTGCTACTACAATTAGTGCTATAATGGACATCTTTGCATATATATGTATTTCTATAGGATAAAGTAAAATTGCCAGAAGTAATATTGCTAGGTCATAAAGGGAAATATATATTTTTTAATTTTAATGATATTCCCAAATTTCTGCCAAAAGTTTGTACCAATTTATACTATAAACAGTTGTATATTAGAGTGCCTGTTTACCCCCTGGCCAACTCTTAGCTGATCTCATAGGTGAAAAATATTCCATTGTTTCGATTTGCATTTCTTTGCATTCTGAATGAGAATAAGTATCTTTTCATACATCTACTAGCCATTTGCATTTCTTTTTCTGTGAACTGCCATGTACCTGGTTTATTTTTTGCTTTTTTTTTTTCACTAAATGTTATATAACATGAACTTTATCTAGAACAATAATAAAAAGCAACATCATTAATAAAGACTGCATATTATTCCATTCTGACTATACCATAATTATTCTTTTATTTTGGGAAACAATTACTATTGTTTCCAATTTTTTTCATAACACTTATAAATTCTTAGATAAGGAATTATCAGGACATAAGGGGGTGTGTGTGTGTGTGTGTGTGTGTGTGTGTGTGTTGTGTTTAAGGCTTTTGATACACACTGCCAGGCTGCCCAATGGAAAGTTCATCCCAGTTTGTGTTTTCACCCGCAGACTATGAGTGTGCCCATTTCTCCATACAGAAGTATTCAGCCAAGAAGTAACTTCTGGAGTTTGTATCATGAACTGCACGTGCAAGGTGATCGATCCCCTGACCTGCAGCCTGAGTAGTCAGTCTCCAGAATTGGATGTTGAGGCTGCTCAGGTCTCCAGTGGGAGCAGTTTCCTTTATCCATCACGGTGGAGTTAAAACTACAGACCTGTGCTTTTCAAATATGTTCTCATTCATTCCACAACTATTTATTGAGCACATATGGTGCTGCGAGGCTTTTTCTTGCCCTGCAGGTCTTCCATCAAAAAGGGTGAAAGCCACAGTTACCCATAATTAGAAATACCATGTATTTAGAAAATGCTTGGGTTTTGGAGAAGGCCCAATCATAGACTTGTGTGGATTTGGGCAGGGTGCTTAATTTCTCTGAGCTTCGGTTTTCTCTTGTATACAATTGAGATTATGAAACTGATATCAGAGGACTTGACCTGAGGGGCCTGAGTGCCTGGCACATGTAGGTGTTAGCATAGGAATTAAACGTGTAGGCTCTGGAGTCCGGAATCAATCATGGCTCCGTGCTTATTGGCTTTGTGACCACAGGCAAATTACATAACCTCTCTGTGCCTTCTTTCCTCAATTTAAAGTAGGCATAAACATACTTAACCTCGTACCGTTATTGAGAAGATCAAATGAGATGATATATGTAAAGTACTTAGCATTAGTACCTACAACCTAGTAAATGCTCAATTACTAAAAGTTATTTTAAAACAGCTTTATTGAAGTACAATTTACATATAGGCATACTTTTATTGTGCTTCAGGTTATTGCACTTCACAGATACTGCGTTCTTATAAATTGAAAGTTTAAGACTTTCGTGGGAGGAAGTAACCGCAGATGTGGTGGAAATAGCAAGGGAATTAGGATTAGAAGTGGAGCTTGAAGGGGCGCCTGGGTGGCTCAGTGGGTCAAGCGTCCACCTCTCAATTTCAGCTCAGGTCATGATCTCAGGGTCGTGAGATGGAGCCCTGTGTCGGGCTCCACACAAAGTAGGGAGTCTGCTTGGGATTCTCGCTCTGCTTCTCCCTCTACCCCTCCCCCCCAAATAAATAAATCTTTAAAAAAAAAAGAATTGGAGCCTGAAGATGAGACTGAATTGCTGCAAGCTCATGATAGAACTGAACGAATGAGGAGTTGCTTCTTATGGGTGAGCAGAGAAAGTGGTCTCTTGAGGTGGGATCTACTCCTGGTGAAGATGCTGTGAAGATTGTTGAAATGACAACAAAGGATTTAGACGATTACATAAACTTGTTGATAAAGCAGAAGCAAGTTTTGAGAGGACTGACTCCAATTTGAAAGAACTTTTGTGGGTAAAATGCTGTCAAAGAGTATCACATGCTACAGAGAAATCATTCGTGAAAGGAAAAATCAATTGATGCGGCAGACTTCATTGTGATCCGATTTTAAGGAATTGCCGCAACCACCCCAAACTTCAGCAACCGCCACTCTGATCAGTCAGCAGCCATCGACATGGAGGCAAGACCCTGCACAAGCAAATATAACTCACTGGAAGCTCAGATGATGGCTAGCATTTCTTAGCAATATATTTTTTTAAATTTAATTTAATTATTTTTATTTTTATTTTTTAAGATTTTATTTATTTGACAGAGAGAGACACAGCGAGAGAGGGAACACAAGCAGGGGGAGCGGGAGAGGGAGAAGCAGGCTTCCCACTGAGCGGGGAGCCCAGTGCGGGGCTCGATCCCAGGACCCTGAGATCATGACCTGAGCCGAAGGCAGACGCTTAACGGCTGAGCCATCCAGGTGCCCCTTTAGCAATATTTTAAAATTAAGGTATGTACGTTGATTTTTTTTAGACATAATGCTATTGCACACTTAAGAGTCTACAGTATAGTGTAAACACAACTTTTATATGCACTGAAAAACCAAAAAATTCGTTTGAGTTGCTTTATTGTGATACTCGCTTCATTGCGGTGGTCTGCAACCAAACCCACATTATCTCCAAGGTGTGCCTGTAGTGTTAAGGGCTGAATTGTGTACCCTCCTAAATTCCTATGTCAAAGTTCTAACCCCTGGTTTCTCAGAATAGAACTGCATTTACTTGGGGCGCCTGGGTGGCTCAGTAGGTTAAGCATCTGCCTTTGGCTCAGGTCATGATCTCAGGGTCCTAGGATCGAGAGGGGAGCCTGCTTCTCCCTCTCCCTCTGCCTGCCACTCCCCTTGCTTGTGTGCACTCTCTCTGTCAAATGAATAAATAAAAAATCTTAAAAAAAAATAAAACAACTGCATTTAGAGATAAGATCTTTCAAGTTTTAATTAAATTAAAAAGAGGCCATTAGGGTAGACACTAATCCAATATGACTGGTGTCCTTACCAGCATAGGACATTTGGACACACACATGGATGGAGGGAAGATGATGTGAAGATAAAGGGAGAAGATGACCATCTACAGGCCATGGAGAGAGGCCTAGAACACATCCCTCCCTCACAGCCCTCGAGAGGAACCCACCCTGCCCACACCTTGACTCAGACTTCCAGCCTCCACAACTGGGAGACAATACATTTGTGTTGTTTCAACCACCCAGTCTGTGGTGCTTTGTTACAGCACCCCTAGCAAACTAAAGCACATTCCATCAAATTCACCCATTTGCGTGTATAATTCAGTGATTTTTAGTAAATTAAGAGTTCTGCAATCTAATCCTAGAATATTTTCTTCACTCCTAGAAGAAACCTTGCCCCCACTTGCATTCACACCCCATTCCCACCTTCAGCCCCAGACGCTGCTAATTTTCTGTCTGTATGATTTGTCTTTTCTAGTCATATAAATCATCTCCTACGATTAGGAAATCTTACATGTCAAGAGCCCTCACCTTCTGTATCCTGATTCTCTATTTGTTCCAACGTCTTATATTGAGTTTACATGTATTGCCCTGTAACTTCTACACAGTCACATGCCTATTATAGTTTATTTGTAATATAAGTAAGACAAAAAATATTCTATCTACTGCAGAATTGTCGGAATGGGATTGCTATATTCAGTCAAAACGACCAGCGTGATCATAAATTCAGAAATTGTTGCTTGTTTTTAGCGGTCAATCAGGAAAAAAAGACTCTGAAGGAGAGTGCTCTCCTGAGGTTCAAGAGGATAGAGAGCCCAAGAAGGGTTTCAGTGGAACCGCTGGTGAGATCCGCTTTCCGTGGCGAGAGCTGAACTGACAAGCTACTCCCCAGAGCTGCTCAGGCCCTTCCGGTAACTAATTGGGACATCCCATCAAGACCACACATGCAGGGCTGCACCCAGACAGCAGAACACCCCAACTGCCAACTGCAGTGTCCAGGCTGCATGGAGACGGGGCTTTGTGCAACACCCCTTTTGTTGAAAAGATCCATTTAGGGCGCCTGGGTGGCTCAGTTGGTTAAGCGACTGCCTTCAGCTCAGGTCATGATCCTAGAGTCCCGGGATCGAGTCCCGCATCGGGCTCCCTGCTCAGCGGGGGGTCTGCCTCTCCCTCTGCCCTCTTCCTTCTCGTGCTCTCTGTCTCTCATTCTCTCTCTCTCAAATAAATAAATAGAATCTTAAAAAAAAAAAAAAGAAAAGAAAAGATCCATTTAGATGCAATCTAGCGAGGGCATCATGTCAGAACTACAAATGGAGAAGTCTTGGCTTTTCTCACCTGGAAGAGTTGGCCCCTCTGTTCACGTTACCAACCCAGAATAACTATAAACTGAAACTACGGGTCGGGGACCGGTAAGTACACATGTGACCATTTATTCAAGAATATTTATCAGGCGCCTTCTGTGTGCCAGGTACCTCTCTAAGCTGGGAATCCATCCGGGAGTCAACAAAGATCCTTGTGCTGCTGGAGCCAGCATTCAAGCGGGGAAAGCCGGCAAAGAACACTGAACACAGTCGGAATAAAGAAGTTGACTCAAGTGTGAAGTCGGAAGGTGTGAGGTTAAAGTTAAAGCGAGGGAAAGGGGTTGGGAGCACTAGGGTTGAGCACGGACAAGGTTGCGACTTTAATCTTTCCTTTTTTTGTCCCCAAGCCACTTCCTGGGAGTTTGAGAAACAAGACAGAGGATCATAGGGGAAGGGAGGGAAAAATGAAACCAGACAAAACCAGACGGAAGATGTGGTTGACATAAAAAAAGCTGTACGTATTTAAGGTATCAACTTGGTGAGTTTGAAGATACATATACAGCAGTGACACCATCACCACTTTGTATGCCTCAAACAGATCCATCACCTCCAAAAGTTTCCTCCTACCCTCTTTGTTTTTTCTTCTTTTCTTTTGTCACGAGGTTGCAATTTTAAATAGGGTGATCTATGTTGGCCTTACTGAGAAGGTGGCTTTAGAGCAAGATGTAAAGGAGGGGGCGGAGTTAGTTAGCAATCTCTCTGGAAAACGTGGTGCAGGCAGAAGGAAGAGCCAGTGTGTACTCTAAAGCAAAAGCAATTCCTGGCGTGTTCAAGGAGCACCCACGAGGCCACCGTAGCTGGAACGGAGTGATCAAGGGAAGAGTAGCAGAAGGGGAGGGCTTTTTGCAAGGACTTCAGTTGTTATTCCAAGTGAGATGGGAAACCAGAAGAGCAGTGTGATCGGAATTAAGTTTGGAAAGATCCCTGTGGATGGACCGGAGAGGAGCAAAGATAGACACAGGAGTATAGGTTAGGAGCCTATTTCAGAATCCAGATAAGACATGATGGTAGTTAGGGTCAGGAGCAGTAGACATGCTGTATTTGTGCAACTGGAGATTCATTTAGCCAGCAAAGAATTCATAGGCACTGTATGTGTGCTGGGAGGCTGTGGTGACCAGCCTAATGCCGGTCCCTCCCATATTACTGTAGGTGATGCTTATAGTTACCGTGGATGGAGGGCTTGCTGCCAGTCAGGTTGGCTTTAAGAGGTGCAAAGTTGTTTTCTCAGTGAACCTGGATCTACTGCTAAAACTCAGGTGTCACTCTTGTCCCCATTAAAGGGGAGGAAAGTCAAACCCTGAGAGGGTTAGTGAGTGGCACAACAGGCAAAGGCAGAACTCAAGTGCAGTGGGTTGTGTTCCAGAATGCCTCCCTTAAAGATGGCAGCCATGGGGGCACCTGGGTGGCTCAGTCGTGAAGCATCTGCCTTCGGCTCAGGTCATGATCCCGGGGTCCCGGGATCGAGTCCCGCATCGGGCTCCCTGCTCGGCGGGAAGCCTGCTTCTCCCTCTCCTGCTCCCCCTGCTTGTGTTCCTTCTCTTGCTGTCTCTCTCTGTCAAATAAGTAAATAAGTAAATAAATAAATAAATCCTAAAAAGATGGCGGCCATGGCAGGGTTATAATAGGATGATATGGGAGGGAGGGGATGACTTTGAAGCTGAAGTTTTTTTTGTTTTTTAAAGATTTTATTTATTTGAGAGAGCGCAGAGTGAGAGAGAATACAAGGGGGGGTGCAAGGGCGCCTGGGTGGCTCAGTTGGTTAAGCGACTGCCTTCGGCTCAGGTCATGATCCTGGAGTCCCTGGATCGAGTCCCACGTCGGGCTCCCTGCTCAGCAGGGAGTCTGCCTCTCTCTCTGACCCTCCCCCCTCTCATGCTCTATCTCATTCTCTCTCTCAAATAAATAAATAAAATCTTTAAAAAAAACCAAAAATACAAAAATACAAAAAAAAAGCAAGGGGGGTTGCAGAGGGAGAGGGAGAAGCAGACTCCCTGCTGAGCAGGGAGCCCCACACAGGGCTCCATCCCAGGACCCCAGGATCGTGACTTGAGCCAAAGGCAGACGCTTAACGACTGAGCCACCCAGGTGCCCTGAAGCTGAGGTTTAACAGTTTGCTGGGGGAAGGGTGGGTGTAGGGAGAGGAGAAAGCAGGGGTGAGAAGAAGAGTGTCCCCAGCTACAGGGAAGATCATGTACAAAGACAGACCTAGAAGTTAGAAAGCAGGGCCTTAGAAAGACTGAAAAAAAAAAAAAACCCACCATGTTGTTGAATCTCCAAATGTGTGAGGGGTAGTGATACAGAATGAACCAGAAAAACAGACAGGGAATGCAACTTTGGGTTAGTACGTCTATGGGTCAATAATCTAACTGCGTATTTGTCTTTAATATTTTCTTCCTGGGAATTTGAAAAACAAGACAGAGGATCATAGGGGAAGGGAGGGAAAAATGAAACCAGACGAAACCAGAGGGAGAGACAAACCATAAGAGACTCTTAATCTCAGGAAACAAACTGAGGGTTGCTGGAGGGGAGGGGGGTGGGAGGGATGCGGTGGCTGGGTGATGGGCCCTGGGGTGGGTTTGTGCTATGGTGAGCGCTGTGAATTGTGTAAGACTGATGAATCACAGACCTGCACCCCTGAAACAAATAATACATTATATGCTAATACAAATAAATAAATAAATAAATATTTTCTCCTGGGATCTCATGTTGCATATATATCAATTGGAAGGGAGTGGATCTTGGAGTCAGAGAAGCAATGGCAGCCCAAGAAGCAGCTTGCAGCTTGCAGTGGGAAGGCTAAAGGCCCCAAATCTCCATCACCCCCTCCATCCAACCCAAATAAATATACTAAGTAAAGCAAGGAGCTCGCTTTGCAAACACAGCCTCAAGAAAAGTCCTCTGCCTGCATTTCAATGTAACCCTTTTGGAGCCTTCATTGCAGACAAGACTAACCGAATCCTGCTCTACCGTTTATCAGTTGTAACAGGAATTATTTCACATTGATAAGCGTCACTTATCTATTCTATAAAATTGACATTAGATTACCCATTTCAGGATTATCATCTCTCTAACTGAGCTCATGCATACAAATTGCATGTTTGACACTTTCTATTCATTTGCAAAGTTCAAATATCTAAATAACAATTCCACATTCAGATAAAGAGTGCATTTTGATTCTCCCACAAATCGGATAAGTGGTTCAGTCTTAAGTGATACAGGAATAAATGTTTAAGTTCCACAAACTCCATCCGCTTTAGTCCAGAACTTTCTTTCTTTCTTTTTTTTTTTTTTTTAAAGATTTTATTTATTTATTCATGAGAGACAGAGAGGCAGAGGGAGAAGCAGGCTCCCAAGGAGCAGGGAGCCCGATGCGGGACTCCATCCCAGGACCCTGGGATCATGACCTGAGCCGAAGGCAGACGCTTAACCATCTGAGCCACCCAGGCACCCAGTCCAGAACTTTCTATTTATTTCAAAATAAGATGGGAATTTCTTGGCATATGGTGTCTGGAAGGAGAGAAATGCACTGATTTGTCAAGCAGAGAATCCCCTGGACTTTGAAGGTAAAAGCTGGTCTGGCCCACTGAGAAGTGCCCAGGCTTTGAAACCAGACTAATTTGGGATTAACTGGGGCAGTGTGGTCGATTTCATCAGTGGCATTGGGAATGAATTTGCACTGCGTTGCACTTACACAGCTTTCTTTCTCAGGAGAAATGTTGCCATAAATTGTTCTGTGAGACATCAACAGCTGGGCAAGGAAGAAAGTCTTCCACAAAATACTGTAGTCATTGGGAGGACAAAACTCTGGGAAATTCACCCAAATTCTTGTGGGCTGCAGACAGACGTCTGCAAAGAACATAAAATGAGCAATTCAAAAGCATAGTATCATGTATAGTGTGAACCCGCGTGCATATGGAGCAGTATTTTGTCCTCAAAGCCAAGGATCCTCAAACTTGTTTCTCCCGTTGGCCTTTGTACCCCTCTATTAGCATTTTTTTTTTTTTTAAGATTTATTTATCCATTTGAGGGGGGGAGGAGCAGAGGGAGACGGAGAGAGAAACTTTAGCAGACTCCTCACTGAGCTCGGAGCCTGATGCAGGGCTCAACCCCATGACCCTGAGATCATACCCTGAGCTAAAACCATGGGTTGGACACTCAACCGACTGCGCCACCCCGGGCCCCTCTAGTATTTCTAACTTAAGTTAGGTGGCAAAAGTCCAGTGTACTCAGTAGTTCCAAATCAATATTTAGTCTCACAAAAGAATTTGGAGTTGGTAATGGACCCCGTGACAGTGACAGATTCAAAGCAAGTATGGGTCCAAAAATGGGAGAGAAATGTCCCTCATGCTGGGTACATCTATAAAAGCCAAGGCTATCTGTGTGGGGGGAGAGGTGGGGCAAAAGCATGTGTGCAGGGAGATGACCACGTGGGAAATGGACTCTGGGGGAAATCATGTCTGTGAGGGCAATGCAGGAAGGGAGGGGGTGGGACAAGAACAGAGTAGAGGACTGTCTGCCCGGTCCCAGGCGGAAACAGCCACCCTTCTTTAAATGTCATGTGCATCACTGCCTGAAGGTGGCATCTCTCACTCTGAAGGACTCCTGTGAAGATTAAGAAGCCTTGAAATACATTTGTGGAAGGTCAGTTCACATCTGTTTTCTATTTGTCATGTTCTGTCAGCACTTCTGTGAGAACAGAGCCATCACACCAGCCTTGGAAGCCAGAGGCAGCTGGATCTTCCAGGCCTGGCAACTCCCGGGTCCATGGTCCCACCTCAAGTGGCAGAAGAGCAGAAAACACCGTCACAACCTGTCTCTGTCTTTGCTGCCCCCACTAACTCTTAGCGGTACGCTGTGCTTCGAAGGACAAATGGGTACAGAGAATTCAGCCTGGTTAGTCAGCTGTTCTCATGCCCATGAAACAACACAGCGACAAACAACTTAGAGGCTTTTCAATCCTCTGATGTGTTTAATTTGTTATCTAGCAAGCAATAAAAAGAAATTCTCCTGAGTTTTATAATATTTACAGTCCTCTAGCTAGGGAACTGGAGTTTGCCCAGGAGGCATATTGCAAAGTGATTGTCTGGCTCCAGGGAAAGACCCAGAATTCAGTAACACTCTTGTTGGCCTACTGATGTTTATCAGAACAGTGAAGATTTCCAAATGGCGCTTATCAGTGTGTGAAGGCACTTATCACAAGTAAGGAAAGACTTCCATTGATTTGGTTCAAAGGGCAGCCCAAGACACACAGTGGGTCACATTCCCTGCCTAGCTCCCTGCAACCCTCCCACCACCTCTGGATGACCTAGGCTGGCTTCACCAGGGTCTGGGTTTAAAATTACTAGGCATCTGTGACAGTTCACTTTCCTCTCAGGTCGATGTGTAATGCTTAATTTTGATTTAAGAATGCCGTTGGTGGGGGCGCCTGGGTGGCTCAGTTGGTTGGGCAACTGCCTTCGGCTCAGGTCATGATTCTGGAGTCCCAGGATCGAGTCCCGCATCGGGCTCCCTGCTCGGCGGGGGGTCTGCTTCTCCCTCTGACCCTTCCCCTCTCATGCTCTCTGTCTCCCATTCTCTCTCTCAGATAAATAAATAAAATCTTAAAAAAAAAAAAAAAAAAGAATGCCGTTGGTGGGAGATGGATGGTCAGTACCCAATTGTGTCAGGACCAAATTTTCAAGATCTTGGCTGAATGTCTTCGAAGCTTCTGAGCAGATGAGAAAGGATGTCCACCGAATGCCAATTGGTACAGCCACTTTGGAAAACAGTGTGGAGGTTCCTCAAAAAATTAAAAATAGAGCTACCCTATGACCCAGCAATTGTACTACTGGGTATTTACCCCAAAGACACAGATGTAGTGAAAAGAAGGGCCATATGCACCCCAATGTTCATAGCAGCAATGTCCGCAATAGCCAAACTGTGGAAAGAGCTGAGATGCCCTTCAACAGATGAAGGGATAACGAAGATGTGGTCCATTCAAGATACATCTCCAAAACCTAGTGAAACAGAAGCAAAAATGAACTTTTGGGACTTCATCAAGATAAAAAGCTTCTGCACAGCAAAGGAAACAGTCAACAAAACAAAGAGGCAACCCACAGAACGGGAGAAGATATTTGCAAATGACACCACAGATAAAGGGCTGGTATCCAAGATCTATAAAGAACTTCTCAAACTCAACACCCAAAAAACAAATAATCAAGTCAAAAAATGGGCAGAAGATATGAAAAGACACTTCTCTGAAGAAGACATACAAATGGGTAACAGACACATGAAAAAATGTTCATCATCATTAGCCATCAGGGAAATCCAAATCAAAACCACGCTGAGATACCACCTTACACCAGTTAGAATGGCAAAAATGGACAGGGAAAGAAACAGCAAATGTTGGAGAGGTTGTGGAGAAAGGGGAACCCTCTTACACTGTTGGTGGGAATGCAAGTTGGTACAGCCACTTTGGAAAACAGTGTGGAGGTTCCTCAAAAATTTAAAAATAGAGCTACCCTATGACCCAGCAATTGCACTCCTGGGATTTACCCCAAAGACACAGATGTAGTGAAAAGAAGGGCCACATGCACCCCAATGTTCATAGCAGCAATGTCCGCAATAGCCAAACTGTGGAAAGAGCCGAGATGCCCTTCAACAGATGAATGGATAAAGAAGATGTGGTCCATATATACAATGGAATATTACTCAGCCATCAGAAAAGATGAATACCCAATTTTTACATCAACATGGATGGAACTGGAGGAGATTATGCTAAATGAAATAAGTTAAGCAGAGAAAGTCAACTATCATATGGTTTCACTTATTTGTGGAACATAAGGAATAACATGGAGGACATTAGGAGAAGGAAGGGAAAAATGGGCGGGGGGAATTGGAGGGAGAGATGAACCATGAGAGACTATGGACCTGAGAAACAAACAGGGTTTTAGAAGGGTGGGGGCAGGGGGGATTGGTTAGCCTGGTGATGGGTATTAAGGAGGGCATGTACTGCATGGAGCACTGGGTGTTATATGAAAACAATGGATCGTGGATCACCACATCAAAAACTAATGATGTATTGTATGGTGACTAACATAACATAATAAAACAAAAATAAATAAATAAAAAGAAGATGTGGTCCATATATACAATGGAATATTACTCAGCCATCAGAAAGGATGAATACCCAACTTTTACATCAACATGGATGGGACTGGAGGAGATTATGTAAGTGAAATAAGTCAAGCAGAGAAAGTCATCATATGGTTTCACTTATTTGTGGAACATAAGGAATAACATGGAGGACAATTGGAGAAGGAAGGGAAAAATGAAGGGGGGGAAATCGGAAAGGGAGAGGAACCATGAGAAACTATAGACTCTGAGAAACAAACTGAGGGTTCTAGAGTGGAGGAGGGTGGGGGATGGGTTAGCCTAGTGATGGGTATTAAGGAGGGCACGTATTGAATGGAGCACTGGGTGTTATACGCAAACAATGAATCATGGAACACTACATCAAAAACTACTGATGTACTGTATGGTGGCTAACATAACATAATAAAATTAAATTAAATTTAAAAAAAAAAAAGAAGAAATGATGACCACCTCCGAATGCATAAAGGCTGCATGGGCAGGAGGCTCAAACTCCTCTGACTGTAAACCCTTTACTTTTCAAGTCTAATTATCAGTGTTCTCCAGTAGTAATCCTGTGATGTTTTAGGACTGGCTTTAAAATGAAGAAATATTTAATGTTATTGATCACTATCCTTGTGCTGTGTTGCTAGGACCGTTTATTTATTGGTGTTTCTGTAAAAAAACAAAACAAAACAGCAGCCATTTGCTATTGTGGAAACAGTCTCAGTGGAAATCAGCAGGACTTAGTCTGATGTGGGCATTTTTGTGGCATGCCTCCCCAGAAGTGCTTGAGTTAATATTTTTACAATAGGCAAAAAAAGCAGGAAAAGATTTTGAAGCCAAATGTCTCTTTAAAAAACTGCTGATGGGGAATCTTTTCTCATGGCGAGATTTCGGTTAAGGTGATCAAATAAAATCAGTCATATTTAAAGTTTCTGGCTTTTTTGTTTATCTCAGTCAAATAAAACTGTGTATTCTAGTGAAGAAACCAAAGGTCAAAGGCCAAAGACAGATTCTGGTGATTGTCTTGTATTAGGGAAACCATTTTCACAGTGACTTGAGCCTTGGCAGGTGGTAATCTGTTCAAGTCATGTTCAGAGGATGGAAGAGCTCCAAAATCTAAGCTGTTTTAGAGACTGGAGACTGTTTTGGACTGAACATACTGTGCTTGCAATTTGTATAAGGCACTTTTTACTAGTTTTCTGATCTGTACCAAATCTTGATTGCCAATTATCTCTCTTTGTTAAATGTCAATAATAAGTAACTGCTAGTCTAAAACATTGACCTGTCAAGAAAGCAATGTAGGTTTTGGAGAGAGTCAACAACCAAGAATTAAAGTGACTTCAGTTGGTTTTCCCCCACTTATTTCTCTTGGTAGAATCCATCCTCCTGTGGTAGTTAACTCTTGTTTATTTGTTTCGTACTAAGCTAAAACCTACGTAATCTAAATACATTTGGAACTAATCCTTCAACCTGGCTACTTGACCACCATCATCCTTGCCAGTAAATTTTAAGTATAGTTGAGTTAAGTTTCACTTCAGTCCTTTCTCCTGCTCACCTCTCTGACCTTTCTTCCTTTAGTGCCTGATTCAAGTGTCACATCCTCTGAGCCCTCGCTTTCCTATTCTCAGTCACTCCTCCATGAATGAAATCCTACTGTACTTTGCATATTCCTCTACTGCTCACCATACTTTATAGTCATGTGTTTATATGTCGTTCTCACCTGTTCAAATGAGAACCCCATCAGGGCAGGGGCTGTGCCTCATCCATCTTTGTATGCCAGCACCTGGCTCCATGTCTGCCATTATAGAAGGCTTGTCTAAATACTTATTGATTGAAAGGATGCCATGTGCTGGGCACTCTGCTGGGATAAAAGATGGAGAAGGAGTCAGTCCCTTTTCTCAAGGAACATACAACATAGTGGGCCAGAGAAGATCTGGCCATAAATACAATATAAGATTGTGTGTGACAGGTGGCATTATCAGTGAAATATTTGAGATGGGACTCAAAGGATGGTGGGAGGACCTTCCAAACAATAGACCTGTGTCAGCGAAGGGAGAAAGCAGGAGGTATCTAAGTTGTCTGGTGAATTTCAAGTTGTCCAGGTGACATTAGGTAGGTGCCAGGAAATGGTGGGAGGATAGGTTGGAAACCTTCAGATGGCTGAAGATCATTAAGTTTGGGATTTTTTTCTTCAAATGATAGAGGACTACTAAAAGTCTCTGTTGCACCAAGAATGGTGTGGGAGGGTGGACTGTCATTGCTTCGAGGTTTAAATATGCCTGTGTTGCTGAGAAGAATGTGGACAGGGATCTTGACTAATTATATGCCTTATTCTCTTAGCTACTGAATGTAGAGTAGTAGAAAGACATTACCACAGCAGTGTTTTAGAAGGATGATTTTGCCAGGGTACAAAGAATGAGATCTGGATGAGGGGAAGGAAGTTAGGGAGGCCAGTTGGGAGGCCAAGAGTTTTGAGGGCCTGAAGAAATGCCTGAGAGGTCAAAGGAAAGGAATAAAGTGATTTGCAGACTGGGTCACTGTGTGAACTCCATCAATAGTTAACTAGTCAGGAGGGACATGTTTTGGTCAGGGGGAGGGGGCAAGATGCAAGATGATGAATTACATTTCAGATGTATTAAGCCTTGAGGTGCTGGAAGCACATCCAGGAGGATATTTCTAGCATATCATTGGAGATATGTGAAAAGAACATGAGGAAGAGAGGAAGAGACATTAGAGGCAGATAAATTTGGAAGCTCTTCACATGAAGGGGTGAGTGGCAAAAGCCACATGATTCAGTGAGTCCATGGAGGTGAGTGGGGCCTTAGAAAATTCCATGACTAAATCTTAGGAAATGGTTTCATTTAGGGGGCAGAAGGAAAACAGCAAGCAAAATCCCCCAGTATTAGGGATCTAAGAGAACAGGGAATAGGGGGCTAAGGGAGCCACGCTGGGTGTGGTTTCTAGAGAGGTTTCTATAGATGCAGAGAGTTCAAGGGCAATGAGGATGGAGGAAACACCTGTGTAACATAACTGGAAGATCACTGGCAACTTTCAAGAGGGCACCTCCGGTTGAAAGATAGGAAGAAAACCAAAATTCTAGCAGGGGATTGCAAACTCAAATGCTTATAAGGACCAGAGAGGTAACAGAAGTGAGCAAGGAGACTGTGATGATCTGGTGATCACATGCCCCACCCAAAGGTAGGAGCCTTGTCCAGACCATTGTTGCCACAGGGAAAAGTTGACCCAGGACAGCCAGCTATCTGACCTTTACAGGGAAGACTGAAATTCTTATTTTTAAGTGAAATTCTCCAATTTTAAAAATATGTGAGTCAAATGAAACACGCCTATACACTGTATCTGGTATTTGAGTCATCAGTACTAACAACCTATGCTAGGTTTGAAGGCACTGATGAGAGGAGAGGAATCTTCTAAGATATAACCAGTCTGCTGGGTGTTTTAGAGACTGGAGTGCTAGCAGGTAACAGAGAGAAGATGGAAGATTCTGGAAAGAGAGGTCCGAGGGAGGAGGTGGAAGTCATGAGATCCATAGGAAGAAGAGATACCTTTTCCTTTCAAATGAGAGGGATGAAGAGAGTAAGAGAGAAGTATTAAATATTGAGAATGAGACTTGAGGAAAATTAGGGAAGATTAAGGACTTTGAACTTAATTTCATCAGTGAACTCTAAGAAGTAGATGTTGAGATTTCCTGCTGAGGAAGAGGGAGTCGAGGACTGTACTTGCGCCATGGGAGGGTGGGGACTGTAGCAGTAGTCCCCAGGGTTAGGGTTCAACAAGTAACAAATCAAACAGATAAAGATGTGGTTGAGGTTGATAGCATACATCTATAGGGATTTTACATTTAATCAGCACTTTTTAAGTGGCTTCTGCATTCTGGGCACCAGGGGATTTCCAGTCAAGGAGATAGATGAATAAATAAGTAATTATCACAAGGCTGTAAATGTCACAGAGGGGTGGAAACTGAATCAGGGTGCTTTTGGGACAAGAGGAGAAACATCCTGGAAGGCTTTCTGAGGAGAGAGGATTTAAGTCTATGTTTGAAAAATAAGTTGTAATAGAGAATAAACTGATGGTTACCAGAAGGGAGGTGGGTGTAGGGATGGGGGAAATAGGTGATGGGGACTAAGGAGGGCACTTGTTGTGATGAGCACTAGGTGATGTATGGAAGTGTTGAATCACTGTGTTGGACACCTGAAACTACTATAATACTGTATGTTAACTACACTGGAATTAAAATGAAAACTTAATAAAACAAAAGGAAAAAGAAGTTGTAGTCACTATGAAGGCAATGGTGAAAGTCAGAAGAGACAACGTATACAAAGCATTAGAGGTAACAGCAGGCATGGTGCATTCTGGGAATTTCAGCTAATTCCGTGTCTGAAACGGAGTGCCCTTGGCAGAGCCAGAAAGGATGAAATTGAAGAGTAAACACAAAGAAACAGGAATGGTCATGGAACTTGGACTTGCCCTATAGACAAGGAAAGCCCATAGAAAGATTTCAAGCACAACAGTGACATCATCAGTTTGTTAGAACACATTGGCTAGAATCGAGAAGATCAAGAAGGAGGCCAATTTTGATGTGCAATTATGTACTCAGCCACAGAGGATATATCTTGATTGATTTAAGTTAGTAATGGCAATCTTAATCTCTTTATCCACTGATTGATCTAGGGTTGGGACATGCAGCCCCCTTTAGATTAATAGGGTATAAAAGGATGTCCACAAGTAGCCTCTGGGAAAGTAGACTTTTTGATAAGTAGGAAGTACTTGAGAGGAAAGCTTCTGTTGTCCCTGTTCTTCCTCTCTTTCTGGGTGTTCTGTGAAGACTAATGTTTGGAGCTGCAGCAATTATTTTGAGATTATGAGGCAATGAGTCTAAGGATGAAAGCAACAAGTTAAAGATGGCAGAACACAAGACAGACCCTGGGCTTTTGGTGTTGGAGGAGGTCATCAAGAGGATGTGACCACTGTTTGACCCACAAACTGGACCCAAGCAATCAAAGGTTCTTCATCTTCTTCCCTGTCCTTGGAGTATACCTTTCTGCCCACCATTTCTATAGCCAGAGCCATTTCAGGGGCACAACTTGAGAAAGTGATGTGTTGTTGAGACTATCTGAACTGTGTATGTGACTGAACCCCATTAAGGCCTCTATATATAAACCTTTAAGATTCTGGTGAGTGGACATACAGATCTACTTGTCTTGTGGCTACCCAAGATGAACCTCGTATGTAAGTCCCCTTGCCTATTAAAACTGCCACCTACCAATCTGGAATGATCCTCCTCTTTCTTTGGTCTCTCCTTGCCCCCATGTATAGAGCCAGTTTCAGATTTCACTTAGGGAACTCCCAAGGTTGCAAACCAACTATGGTGACACTTTTGTTTCCAAAACCACTCTGGGATGACCTGCCTTGAACTTAACAGGTCAGTAATTGATGCACCCATGGTTTAAATCACAATTAGTTGGATATTTTCTTAATTGCCACATTGCCTTATATGTGGCCATCACAGTAGAAAGTTTAAGAAGCAAGAGATCCTAAACTGCTAGAGGTAATCACTCATATATAGTCCTATTCCTGTGCTCAAGAGATACGATGCATACTGTTGGTTAATCTTCTACATCTATCACCCATCTTTACCCTTCCCTTCCACATGTCACACCCGAATTAGACAAAGCTACCTTATTCATCCATGTTCTCATCATTGTAGTCTACTTGCTCTCTCCTAAACAGAATTCACTTCTTTCATTTAAAGTCCCAGTGTCACATGATGTAATGAGCACTGGGTGTTATATATAACTGATGAATCACTTGAACTCTACCTCTGAAACTAATAATACACTATATGTTAATTAATTGAATTTAAATTAAATAAATAAAGTTCTGGTATCGGGGCACCTGGGTGGTGCAGTTGGTTAAACATCTGACTTTTTTTTTTTTTTTAATTTTTATTTGACAGAGAGAGACAGCGACAGAGGGAACACAAGCAGGGGGAGTGGGAGAGGGAGAAGCAGGCTTCCTGCGGAGCAGGGAGCCTGATGTGGGGCTTGATCCCAGGACCCTGGGATCATGACCTGAGCTGAAGGCAGATGCTTAACGACTGAGCCACCCAGGCGCCCCTAAACATCCGACTCTTGGTTTCAGCTCAGATCTTGATCTCAGGTTTGTGGGATCCATCCCTGCATCGGGCTCTGTGCTCGGCACAGAGTCTGCTTGAGAGTCTCTTTCTCTTTCCCTCTGCCCTGTGTGCTCTCTCTCTCTCTCTAAAATAAGTAAGTAAATCTTAAAAAAAAAAAAAAAAGTCCTAGTGTCTTGAGACACCTGGCTGGCTCAGTGGGTAGAACATGCGACTCTTGATCTCGGGTCATGAGTTTGAGCCCCATGTTGAGTGTGGAGATTACTTAAATCAATAAATTAATTAAAAAAAAAATAGGGGCGCCTGGGTAGCTCAGTCAGTTAAGTGGCTGCCTTCGGCTCAGGTCATGATCCCAGGGTCTGGGATCGAGCCCCGCATCGGGCTCCCTGCTTGGCAGAGAGCCTGCTTCTCCCTCTCCCTCTGTCTGCCGCTCTGCCTGCTTGTGCTCTCTCTCTCTCTGTTAAATAAATAAATAAAAATCTTTAAAAAAAATAAAAATAAAAAAAATAAAGTCCCAGTGTCTTGGTATTATATTAAACTATAGTTAATTATGATGCCAGGGGTCTTGTTTTCTTTATCTGTGTGCCCCTGGCACAAAGGCTGGCAAAGAGTAGATGCTCAAAAAAATGTGTTTTAAATGGAACTTTGATACAGAGGGTTTAAATAACAATAAAGAGAATATTGGACCTATCTTATATGTTTCCCCAGAT